TCATTGCAGTGGTTTTGAAACGCAATGTTGCAAAAGTACGCATTTCATCATAAGAGAGAGGGTAAGTGACCAACCTATCCACTGCTGGCGATGTGGGCATACTACGCGCAAAACCCTTGACCCCAGTCTTGGCGAAATACTTGATTGACTTCACATTGTCCGCAATCACTGCAAGGGAGTCACAAGGGCAAACAAAGAACCCGCCCTGACCAATAATCATATTACGATCCCCATCACCGTCAAAGGCAGCAGCCAAACCAATCGACTTGTCCGCGCGTACTGCGTCCACCAACTTTGCAGCGTAGGTCAAATTGGGGTCCGGGTGATGACCTCCAAAATCGGGTAATGGTGTGCAGTCAAGCGTGGATGACTCGGATAAACCAAAGTTGTCCACTAGCAGCGCCTTAATGTACGGTCCAGTGACTGGTAATGAAGAAGAGAAATCCTCCTTATCCTGTCGAATGTTCTCGTCAGTAGGCATTATCCAATGTTGAGAACACATGTTAGGTGAAATAACGAATCAGCTCAAATTCAAGAAGAGGCCTATTCCAGTGGCCTTATATAAATAAGTAAAACCCGATAACGCGAGAACACATGTGTAAGGTTTAATTTACTAACCACAAATCAGGAAATTAGGATAACATACAGTTTCCATTTATTATCCAAAAAGGTATCTCGATAAATAATGGCTTGAGAGCAGTGAACAAATTTATGAATGCAGTCATATACAATGAGTGACTTAAGTGCCACAAATTTGCGGTAAAAAACCTACACACACTGACACAGAGGACAGCAACAAGCGAAAATGTCACTGTCTACATTTACTCGAATCTACAGAACCGCAGAGGCCTACTGCTCTGACTGATGATATCAAAGGATAGAAATTTTACATAGTGGAGCATAGAATGAATTTTAGACAATGATTCAAAGATACATGTATCTACTCATAAATAACAGATTATAGAAGGAATTACCCCCATTGAGACCATCAACAAGAACCTTGAAGGGGGGCTTTCCATTGGCTCCATTAAGGAAGTTCTTGATGAGGTCGAAATCAAAAATCTCTTTCATGTATTTGATGTAGTCCTCCGTACTGGATATGATGGTCACCTTGAAAGCCTTTCCATTACCCAAACAATAGTCCGTTGTTCCCAGTTTGCATAAATCTATGGGTAGCGGACGGTCTAGTGTGCAGTATTCACTAATCGTAGTCGTGATTTTATAGACTTCATTGGTGATTGTCTCTGGAGCCGGTCCCCCATTCTCGATGTTGTACTTAATACCAAAATCACCATCGGGACCTCCCGGATTATGACTGGCGGTGAGGATGAAGGCTCCAGTTGTGCCATAGCGCCGAACGATAGTTGAAACAGCGGGTGTGGAGAGAATACCATTCTCCCCAATCATGACCTCCTCCACCTAGTTAAAATATTGCAATAAAAAGTACTGTTTACAGGTGATGAACAGAGGAGGGGAAAGAAAGCTCACATCATTAGCCGCACAGATAGGTACAATGGCTTTTAGAAGGGCTTCCTTGAGAAAGTAACGTCCATCGCCACCGAGCACGAGTCGGAAGTGAGTGTTAGGCTTCTGGTGCTTCTTCGCCACGATGAGACATGCCTGCACGAAATTTTCCACATAGTTGGGCTGCATGAAGGTCTTAGTAGGCTTGCGCAGCCCCGAAGTACCCGGCTTTTGACCCTCGTAGGGCTTCGTGCTACGCTTCTGCACCATGAACTTTTCTGCCATTTCGCTGGAGACAACAAAGGTCGGAGGTGATTTATTCACATGCTGAAGATATTACTCTTAAAAATGGTAGTCAAACAGGTAATAAAAAACCACAAATAAATAAGGAGTAGCCTGGTGTTCCGTGTCTTCAATGGATACAAGCCGCCGAACAAGCCAATGAGAAGTAAAGAGTAATTGATACAAAGGCCATCTATTAACAAAAGCAGAGTTGACGCAAAATAGCAATGTGAAAATCAAACATCTGCTTCAGTAAAATCCACATCAGTATCATCGGTATCATCGACTTCTGTGTCGCTGTAAGTGTAAGGTAGGTCGGCGCCCCTCTCAGCCAGCTGATCAGCTTGTTCATTGCCCCATTTGCCTTGGTGACCGGGTGTGTGACACTGAAAAAAAGGAGCATAAAAGTGTCCATCTAGCCAAGTAATAATGGCTATTACAATGGGAAAGCATCTCCATTACACATAAAACTGTCGATCACTTAAAAGCGCTTAATTGAGGAAATAGAAAAATACATTTACATGCTGCATGGAGAATACTCAAATTCACACTAATCGCAACCACCTTCGGGGAGATGTGCGCCATTACTTACTGGGGAATAAGAGACGATTGTTAGGGAGGTCCAATTCAAACAGTTACAGTTTCATACGCCTCTCAATTTAAAGCGCCAGACTACAGTGCCAATAAGTGCCAGTGGTCAGCAGACAGCTTATTAAACTGCACTCCAGCTACTCCAGCCCCGCCAGGAGGCCATCAATCAGTGTGACAGCAAGTAACGCCCTTATGGCCGGCTCCACCCAGTGGCGTACCTCATACAGTCTACTACGACGATTTACCGATCTGTTAACGGTTCGAAATGTAAAGAAACAAAATCCTCCATGGTGATTTTCAGCTCATCGTTACAATAATCATTCAATTAAGACCTCAAAGTAATATCCTAGCTGATTGATGAACTGTACAGGAGACATATCCGTAAGAGGTGACGAGTAAAGTACAGTAGCAAACACAACCAAGAAATTGTATCAGAAAATAGTTACGTTTATCGTTGCCATAGATGTGGCCTTTTTATTGCTTCACAATTCTAGTCCCCAAAGCACCAATTTGATCTAAAAACAGATGCACTTAAAAGTTATTTCAAATCGAGCTCCCATTTATGCTCCCATTACAGACAGGAGAGCAAGATAAACGTAACCATTAAAAATGACTGGCAATGAGAAGTCACTTTTCACGATTCACAAAGATCGTAGCTACTTATCTCCTAATTAACATGGTTTACCAAGTTCTAAAGAAATGTGGAAGGAATATTGTCCAGTTGAAAGAGGCAACTGACCCAGGAAACTTGAAAACCAGGAGTGCCTAACTGTTCAACCAACCGCTGGATGTCCTTCCTGAGGAGCACCGGCCTCCCGTTGGCTAGCTTCCAGCCGTTCTTTTGCCACTTGGCATACCACACAGTGGCGCAATTAAGCGTAAATTTACTGTCTGTGACTATCTTCACACCTTTGATTCCGGCTGAACGGGCCTTTTTGAGAGCACTGATACATGCCTATAGAGAAATAAAGATGCATTACGAAGCGACATAGAGTGCGAAGACTGGTGGAATACGCGTCAGCCTAGTTTCTGTTGGCGTATTCGAGAGATAATCGGATATTGAAGACTATCAGGAGAAACCAATAATGCCGACCTTGCATATTTGTGATATTTAATTGGTGTTAACCGTATGGTACAAATAAGTACACACAAGGCCAAGGCAACACCAATTAAGGGAGGAATGGTCAATATGAAGATAGTCACACTTTGACCATGAAAAAGAAGACTCCCAAGGCAACAATAGGCATGGACACAGATGTCGGCCATCGACGTGACTTGAGGCACAAAAGTACGAAGTATTAGCTATAAGGTCGACCACAAAGGGTAAAAGGTAACCAAGTTCCAAATCGATTAGCTGACGTTTAACTGATCCCTTTACCACAAAACCCTAGGAACGTGCAAACATATTTAGTGATACCATCTTAAAAACTGTAGTATTTTGGCAAGTACATCTCAAACATTACACATACGTAAAGATGATTTTGAAATAACAGGACGATCGTCCGAGAACATTAAAAACACTCACAAAAAGGCAAAGATCTACAAACTTAGATGTGATTTTAGCTAGATATCATAAACACCGCAGGGAGAGAAAAAATATGCCCGAAGATTCAGTTCTTGACTGCCGCCTGAATCAGAAACGTCTAGAGGTAAGAGAAATCAATCCCAGCAAATATGTATAAATTGTAAATGGGATGGCTTAGCACAGCGACTGTCTTCAGAGAAGAGTGGGAGAGGTTAAGTTCTCACCCAACTGAGAGCACATAGTAAACTCTGAAATACCTTGTTTACTAAAACGCAACTGGAATGCGGGTGAGAGGGGAATAGCAAGAACAGAAGCAAGACAGACTGAGACAAACACAAGTTATAATTAGCTGCAACTAGTTTAACCTTACCTAGGAGAGGTTAGACCTGTCGCCAGTCAAAACAAACGAACACATTGTGAATTTTAGCTCTCAAAGTAGATTAAAAGCGCACAAGTGATATATTCTTCGCATGGGACAACAAGGCCACACGCCTACGTGACCTACGACCGACCAACCACATTTCAGCTACCCACCAATTGGTTGTTAGCAGGGGCACAACACTAACAGAATTCAAGTACCCAACTTCGGATAAGGTAAAAAATACCTCAATTTCGGCTCGGTTGTTGGTCTGACGTCCTCTTAATCGTTCTGAGACATTCCAAGGGTGGTCGTTGCCCCAGAAAACGCCAATTCCAGCTCTCCTAGAGTTGAGTGGACCTTTGCAGGAGCCGTCAGTATACACAAGTACTTTATCAGCTTCTCGAAGGTCTAAAAATGGAGTTGTATAAGTAGCGGCAAATATGCTAGTTCCAATAAATGATTCGTTGTACATCTGGAACCAAAAAATGGTAGCATGCAAACACACCATGCATAAATGGAATTGGAAGCAAATTGTCAGCTGCAGTTGTAGATGCTATCCTTCTGCATTTGCCTCCCTAAAAAAATTAGTTTAACATAGTTGTGAGCAAACTTTTACTGAGGGGTTCAAATGATCTCTCCTTTCATCAGGGGTGGCGTTAGAGAACGGACGCTTTTGAGATGAATTACAGACACCTGAGATCACAGTCGAAAATGCAAAAAGTCGGAGACAAACCATCCTTGAGAAAGTCTTCGGCTTCACACAGTAATGCAAACTTTTTGAAAACAGCCCCTGCGAAACCATGGACTTGACGTTTACATTCATCCCTAAGTACATATAGTAAAGGGTCAACAACTGAGCTAATACGAGTAAAACAGGATCAAGTTGTCCCCACAGTAGACAAACAGGTCTTACAATAAACGACAGGGAGATTTGAAAACGAATTCACAAGGCACAAAAAGCAGCAGGTTTAAAATTGTTGCAATCAACACACCGTCAACATGCACACAAATTAATGAGACACGGGGGAGATGCATATGCGATCAGATGCATGGAGTTCTAATTATTGAGTGATTTGCTACCGTAAGGCCTAGGACTAATCAATAACAAAAACGTGTACGTCTAACCACCATTAATCTATCTGTAATTTTACCAGAGGGACGGGGCAATAAAGTATGACAGAGAGAATGCACCAATGTGACTCATTAACCGAACGAACGAAATAACGATCTTTTCGAGAAATTTCTATTGAGTACTAGAGTCTAAAGTAAAGAAAATCCATTCACCAAACTGCCAAACATTAGCGGACAACTACAAAGAAATTTTCGATTTACCCGGTGGCTTAGCGGTAGCAACCGATCTAATTACCATCGGGTTAAAAACCACACTAAAAAAACGTGGCTTTCACTGAAAAATTCACCAAGTCTTAAATATCCCCTTCGACTTTCCAACTTTGACCGCGTAATAGGGCATTCCAGGAATCAGCGAATGCACATAGGACAATCACAGCGTTTCTATTGGCTAAACGAATAAATTTCCATGTTGGCATTAGCTACGCACAGTAATTGGGATATGTAATCCATCCATGAGAAAAGAACGAGATTTACTGGACGGGCAAGATAATATGGTAAAAAGCTATCTTTCGGAAACCAACCTTTTCATAGAATTTTTCAAACGGCGCACATTTTGATTAAATTTGCACAAAATAGGATCCGCACTTAAATGACGGTGGCATAGCAATAAGAATATTCGAAGAGAAATGAATAGATTATGTTACGTTACATATTTATAGTGCTTTGTTTACGTGACCATCTAGCCCCTAGCGGTTGCTTTGAGGTTCACCCGACCTCTGTATGTGTCTGGTCGTTCCTGGGTCAGGCTTGAGTCTTATTCCCCTGTTCTCTCTGTAATGCTTGTGTTCACGCCCACTTAATGCCTTACACCTGGTGGGAAGCCTCGAGGCGCTGCAATATTAATCGTTTAAGTTGTGGCTGAGCAAAAGGAGATGCGATGTCAATTCGAACGAGAGCTCGTTTCAACTCTATGTTGCCGCAGCTGCATCCCTACCCCTCTGGATTGATGCCACATGTCAATGGCTATTAAATCATATAGTCGTCTCCCCTTCAGAAGCAACTTGAGGATGAGGAGAGCAAGTAGGGAGGTGCTGCGGCTGTCCCTTTCACGATCTCGGGCATTCATTCAATGTTTTGAAGCGACAGCACACCAGGAAAGAGGTGGGCATACTATGTATGTGTGTATATACTTTACATATTTGATTATCCTTCGTCTAGTGGTCACTTTGATTATTGTCAATCCTTTGTATTCATGGGCTGGCCTTCGTACTTTCTTCTTACTCCCCTAGGATGTATGTACTTTAGCTCAGCTTAGTGCCTCAGGGTGCTTGATCAGTGACAACAAAGGCGATCCCAATTTTGTTATTATTTGTGACGAACTTCAAAGGCGTGTGTGTGAGAAGTGAGGCATCTGCCTCATTCCCGTGTTTCACCGCTAGGTATTGGGAGCTGAGCCAACGCTGATCTAAATCGCCTGAGAACATTTCTCGAGTTCCTTCACTACATCCGCGTATAGATGGCGGTGACATTGTGCCAAATCCTCCTCTACACGGGACTGCTTTAAATTCTCCTTTCCCTGCTGAACACTTTTGTTATAAACTAGTGTTCCAACATCTCATTCTGGTCGCAATCGATGGTGGAACATAATTTCTGCCTCTGATTTCTGCATTCAGACTGAACGTAAATCCAAATTTAGTCGAATTAGTTGAGAGGGTGAAATACATTCTCAATCTCACGGGAACCGATTATTGGTATGACTAGCTCACGGGTGTTATCTATCATTACCGAAAATGTTGTAGTAGCTGACGCAGTAGGCCTACCAACGGGATTATCCTAGGCGTAGTTCGGAAGGAGAGCAATGTAATACGTCACCTATTTAACCGCTCTACATCGATGGCGCTCACTTTGCTGGCGATCTTATATTCGCCCTGTGAGCTGGCCTTGGGGCCAAGCCATCGTCTTATCTCTACCCTTTCTTCCTGAATAGAAGCATTTAGTTACGCGTAATGCCTTCTACCACTGTGCGGGGAGTTCAAGGCGCCACTGTACAAATTGTAGCGACATTCTAGATGATCTTATCTATTATTGTGCTGTAGGGGTTGCGTAGAGACACTTTGTTGGTTTGATCATTGTACGGCTGGCGGCCGCTTTGAGCGCGCATCCTTTTGATGACTTTGTATACTGGGCTTTGAGCCAAGTCGAAATTCAGTCTCCTCTTCATGAATGTATGCATTTAGACGACTTAGTCCCTTCCCCTACCTAGTGTGAGAATTCGGGATGCTGCAACAGGGCAATCCACAGCAGACGACTATTTTCAACGACTTCAACTCCGGTATCGGTTGTTTGTGGAAGAAATGCATATACCCCGGAGGAAGGTTCTCTAAATTCTTTACACTGACAAGCTATTACCAACTGATGAAACTGTTGCGGATGCTAAGTCTAATCTCTCGGTCTCATGGCATGTGATGACTGGCGCAGATGGTTCGCAGGTGTTCCTTGAAGCACTGGAATGTGATGGCCGAGACGGAAATTGTACCAGGTGGTGTACCAAGGAAGTCATTCAAAGAAGTGAGAGGCAATGTAGTCTCTTATTCACCTGACTACCTGTGTGACCAACGGCACCTTCTGTACAAGGCTTCAAGCCAAGCCGAAATCTAGTAACTTCCACTTCCCTTTGAACAGATGTGGTCGGTTCAGCTTAATGCTTTCCTGTTCCTAGCAAGAGGACACGGAATACAATCGTCAGCCTTACTTCATACTGCAGTACTTTAGTTGTGTAGGTATCTAATAGCTGGCACTCACTTTGTTATTCGTCTTGTCTTTGTGCGCGTGAGTTAGTCTCTAGGCCAAGCCAAGATGCTATTCCTTCTATTACCTCTAAAACACACCAAATTGGCCCAAAACGATACCTTCTTCCACCAGACGGGAAATATCAGTGACGCAGATGCTTTCAAGTAAGTTAAAAATACTCGAAAGTGTGGCTTCCATTGTCACCTAACCCTATGGGAGATACCATGAGGGCTATTAGTCCAGTGGCATCTCAAACTATTAATGAAATGTCCCCCTAAACACCTTAGTAAATTCATTTGATAATAGCTAAATAAAATCTTTAAACTTTGTAAAAGTCCGTTCTCTTGGATCAGTTAGATTTTAAATTTAAACTAGTTTGAATCGATAAGTATGTGTCGGCGGTATTTGGCGAGAATCTGAAAATGGCGGATGATCGAAATTGTATGCCTTCGTTTAACGTAATTTATTCTTTTCAGACGAAGTAGATGAGTATGGGATGTCCTACAGGAAAAACGTTGGCATTTTCATTGTTTATTACTTCTTCTTAGCCTCCTCGGACCCGGAAGAAAAGTAGGTACTACGAGGAGTACTATGAAGCAGCACCACAGTACAAGTCAAGAGATTCTCCTCGTATCTACTCCCCCATTCGGCCAATACAACCAGATGATGCCCACAGAGCGAGGCGAAATCCTAAGCAGGTTAGCTCTTCCTTTACCTCTATTTCTCTACCAGCATAAGGGAATGCCTAGCTCCATTGGCTGGCGTAATGCCTATGCCAATCCTGAACGGCGTACCGCTCAAGGCAATGCAGTTCGACTCCGAAACGTTTTAAAGCTTCCAAAGGCGCACAAATGGGTGTTTTACGAATGGCTCTACTCCAATTTGGACAGGTAACTCTTGGGTTATATCAACTGCTTCATCCCCTTTAGACCTCTTCTTTTAAGCGAAAATGATTTCCGCATTTGTCTCCGTGAAAATTTTCCAAACGTAAAAACTCGTCGCCTAACGCGAGCTCACTGGTCTTTACTGCGTCGACTAATGGGGAAACCTCGACGATGCTCTACGTCCTTTTTCGAGGAGGAGCGTCGTTCACTAAACGAAAAGCGAGAAAAGATACGCACTTTGCAGGCAACTCGTTCAGTACAACTGGAATTTCTTCGTGATCTACCCGACGATATGCACGTCCCTATGCCTCTCATCATCGGAACAAGGATTAATGCTCGGTAGGGGTGCTGCTCATTCTGTGACCTTTTTAGTGTTCGTTTTCCAACAGATGGTCTCTATCCTGGCAAAGTTGATGCTATTGATTCTTTGCGCCATTGCTATCGCGTCACCTTCGACAGACCCAATTTGGGAACTCGATCAATTCCTGACTATGAGGTGATCAGCATTGATCCTCAAGAGACCATTCCTCTCTCAGCCTACAAGACTCAACACAAAGCGAGTCGCAACTTGTTTATGAGTCCTGCCAGGCTATTAGCTCAGTCTGCTTTACAGGTAGGTCATTTTCCATCCTTTATTATTCACTGTTTTAATTGCTAGGGCAAGAGGCACATGCATCACCACAAAATCGCTCACGCCGTGGGTGGTGCCACCAGCGATTTCGGTATTAATGATTGTCCTCTTTGTCAAGCTGGTGATGGTACATCCCCTAGTTCAATTAAAGCACCATCAATGGGTGAAATGACTTCTGGAATTGGAGGGGCTGCTCTTTCACTTAACGATCCCTCTAGCAGTGGTGGGCGGCTTTTGCTCAATGAATCCGATATTTATGGAGGTTATCCAATGAAGTTTCTCGTCATGGTGGTACGTATTATGAGTCGCTTGATCTACTATTTGGTCGTCCACTTCTATCGTTTTCATATTTCAGACGAAGCTGTCAAAAATTTTGGAAGTGAAGAAGATGTGCGTGGATGAGTTGCAGGACCTGAATACCGAGGCGGAACGGAAAATATCCAATCAGTCAGAAATATCTGTTGGGTTTCAGCACAAATACCTCACACTTATTGTTCACTTGGAGCGTCTGAATCGAGAACTCAATCAATATCTCATCCACGTCCTACAATATGCCAACGAAGTGAGTTATCAGCAAACTACTCTGCTGGTGAGCAGACTGTTGAAGCGCATTTAAAGCTTGCAGACTTATGGTTTTAAGTCTAGCTATTCCGATCCGTGAGTAAATTCTTTACTAGGTTTCGTTTAACAGAGCTTTACCCTATACCTCGCCATGTAGATCGCACAAGAGCATGGCGTACCGCCACTGGAGCAACCAGCCGACTTCAAGCAGCGCTGCGATGAGGATGCCTATGACATTGTGAACCGCGTGAAGAGCATCCAGGTGCAACGGTTGCGCAACATGAAAAATATGGATCTTATCACCAGATTAACGGGAATCCTCGTCCAAATTCGCTCTCTCAGTGAGCAGGATAGTGTCACACCCGACTGCTCAAGTGTTATTGACTCTCTTCGAGATCTGAAGGCTACTCTGCACTCCAGCAACGTCCAGTAAGCCTCATTTTCGTTATGTCTTCTAGTCTTACGTGCATCATCACACTACCTTTGCTTGCAGGCAACCCTTGTTTAAAAGGCGTTGGATTAAAATGAAAGAGGGGACCTAAAATTCTGATTTTGCTCCTTGGACTAGAGGACATCTTATAGGCTGTATCGGTCACCTTTCCTTTGAGGTCTTAGTGGCGCAAGTAGTTGTTGTTTCACCTGTCTGAAATCTTATTCCATCAAAAGCATATCACCATTGCAATGTTGTCGTTTAGGCTAACTGATTGTTGCTCTTTTTCTCTCCTATAGCATTTTCGAGGACATGCTGGAAGTGAAAATTCACCATGTGATGAGTGGATTGAATACTCAGGGGAATTTGCACGCATTCCTCTACATGCATCCCAATCACATGCAGTATGTTTGATGCAGACAAATTTTAGCCTCATTATTATGAAAATCCCCTGACTGATTGTCATTTGTCCTTATATTTGTCTGTTTAGCGCCAAGTGAAGTCAAATTTTAAATGCTCAATTTGACCTCTGACGTGATTTTTTCTGGCCCAGGAGGTGCTCATAGGTCGCTTATTTGCACTGCAACCGAAACCATTTCCAAATCTTATCCTAACAGCGTGGCATTTGTTGACATTGAAGTAATGGGATTGTGGTATTAATCGCTCTCCTCCATTAGTTGATGGAATATTTTGTGGTGGATGGCCTGATGATTTGCAACCCTTGGTGATCACTAGCTAGCGGGGGAATTGATGCTAGTGGTCGGGCTTTTAACTTCTTGTCTATGGCTGTCCACATTAGTTAGCCACCCAGTGGCGTGTGGCGATCGGCTCTCCCACCGAAGGCAATGAATGTGTCGAACTTCGACACTGAGGTATTTCCTTGTACCTATTGAACATGTTAATTGATTGGGTGGTTTGAGTGCAAACGATCTAGATACGTTCTGGTACGCGCATCTGTGTCGGTGGCGGTCTCGTTCATGGTGATCTCTAGTCCTTTCATGGGCAACTTATGCGTCAATTTGGTTGTCTTGGATCATTGAGTGATGAGTAGTCAAACAGAAAGGTGAGAATTGAAATTTTATCGCGTTCATGAATAGGCTTTTGTGATTTCGAAGCTTTGTTTCAGTCTTGGGTACCAAAGCGGCTGTCCTGACGCAATGCAGAAGGTTCCACTTAGTTGGTGATGGGGATGGGCGAAATTAGGAGTGGGTTGTGTCAAAGGCAAATTGGTTTATACTTGAGTGTCTCAATTTCGTAACCGACGGAATCAGTTGCCCAGTCAACTTGCCACTTTTTTAATAATGTGCTACTTATTTTAATAAGTAGACGAACATATAAGGGGAATTAATATTGACTTTGTCGTATGCCATTGGGGCAAGTTTGCTGTCACGGTTCGGAATAATGAGGTGGAAGTTTGCAATGGCATCCCATGTTTGCTTTGAGACCTTCTTGGATCGGGATTGGACTGACATGACATGAAACTATTGATTTTCCGTCTGTGGTTTAAATTTCCTCTGTTATGTGAGTCGGTCAAATTATAAGTGGATAGCAGTATGGGTGGTTCTGCGTCTAGAAGTTGCACAGACTTCAGACACATCATTAAAACCAATGCTAGAGTAGCTTCTTTAGAGCTGTGCCAGCCACCTTTAACGGTTTTACTCCCAAGCTTCCATGAAGCGGCGGATGGAACGTCGTCTCTTGACTCCATTGCCTATGGGGAAGGTTGTTCCTCCACAGCTCAACCGAAGGACGAACAGACTGTGTTTCGGAACATGCAGGAAGAACAAGAGGTAGCCAAAGCTGGGATTGGTGTTGTGATCGGAGAAGAGGAAGTGATGGATAACTTTAGGCGACAACTTACCCCAGTTCGGTTGAACAACTCACTTGAAATGGCTGAATCACGGCGTTCAAAGTCCCAATTCATCGCTTCGGAAACACCTGTTCAATCTGATCCTTGTGATATGCTAACACATATGGAACCCGGAGATTCTCCTTTTAATGATACCACTGAAGTTGATTCCCATAGGCCAATCGAAACGGCGACATCGGTGACTTATTCTTATCCTAGAGTCCATTCTATAACCCCTTTGAGGATATACGCTCCATTTCGCAGTAGATCAACTCCTCCACCACAACGAAAAACTCTTTGTCAAAAGTATCCCCACACCTATAGAAAGGCATGGGAAAGCGTACTTCCTCTTATTGCAAATTCAACTTCCACACAATCTAACAATTCAACTTCGTCATTTCAAGTGGGTAGTAAATGTCCACTACGAAAATCCAACGCGTCGTCTGAATGGCGAACCAATCGGTTGGGTGGAGACACGTGGATTCACCATCCCAATCGGGTGTCCGCTTCTCAGAGTGGTCGTAGACTGAAGTTGTCCCACAACCTCTCCCCCAGACGGCTGAAACCAGTAGCTAATTTTATGAATCCGACAAACCCTGCAGCAGGTGATCAAACACTCTC